ATCCTATTAACCATAAAATTGCTCCTATCTCATAAGTGTTCAACAGCAACAACAACATACCCAATATTATCCCACACCGTGGGGTCTGGGGAGGGTAGTGTGTAGGCAGACCTTACCCCTACCTTGTGAGGATAGGCATGAATAAATAAAATTAGAGTAACAGGATAAGAGTGAGTATGCCTTTGATCAGTGTAATAAGACAACAAGTAGCTAAAAAGGTATTCATTGTATTCCTTCCAATTTTATAGCATGTTTACATCAATATCTAAACCCCCAATAGCTTGAGAGAATAATTTATCTGGGTATTCCCAAACTTACTTCCTCTTTTCTCATTCTGCATTTCTCTTTCTCTTCTTTTCATTCTACATTCTGGAAAGACATTCATTTATGTTGTGTGTGATTGTTTACCAAATAAAAAAAATAGAACTGAAGAATAACCAACAACCTTATGCATTTTTTTTTTTTTTTTTTTTTTTTTTTGTGAAAGGTAAAATTTAACTTACAGATGATAGGTTAAATAAAAGTTGACAATTCGCGGGCCCTAACAAGCTTGAGGTTGAGGTGTATTTGTTGTTGTAATTAAAGGCTGACATTTTGAGGAAGTGAAAGAAAGACCAACCTGTGCCTCTGAACGGAGATCAGTGTATGGAACTACGCCAGTAAGCAGCTCACTGCAACATTATGAATCCACAAGAACTTGCTCTTAAAATGCAGAATACGAAAAATGTTTCATAAAATGTTCCAAATAAAAGACACATCTGAGTATTACTTGGTATCAGCTATAAAGTGAGGACAAATAAACACTTGCTGCCTCATGCAGCCCATCATAGTATTACTAACGAAAGGGAAAAGGATTTGCGAGTAAATTGAATACAATAACACAAAACTAGCTCATAATGGAAACAACCAAGTCATTGTCGTGATCCATTAAAAAGAAGATAATAATAGAAAATAAACGCGAGGCTGGTGCAAGCATCAATGATGTCTCTAATTATTATCATGGGGACACACAAAAGTTTTTGAAACCACACTTTCTGGAAGAAATTTTCAGAGGCCTTAAGAGGTCGCATGTTCTTCTGCATGCAGGAGTTGCCCATACGTAGTTCTTAAATCCTTATCCACAATATTATGGAGGTAGCAAGGGGTACTTCACTTTTAAAAGCTAATCTTTTTTTTCAATAACTAAGACTGAACACAGAACTTGGGCAGTTACTCATGAAAATTCTTGCATGCAAAGTCTGAGGAAGTCAGTTATATCCAAGGTGGGGAAAACAATGCCCGAAACACATTTGCAACTCGGAAGGTCTTTTGTTGAGCAATTCTTCTATCTGATAACAATTAGGGTTTCAAACTAGAGATAATATACAGTAGCTAATCAACTTGCTTCTACACACAAGAATCTTGACATATCCATGTTGCTGCAGAGATAGGACATCAAGATAACAAGGTAAAGTAGCTGACAGATAACAAAAGCTGGCAGTAAATATGAATCAACTTCATCAAATGATGACTTAGATGAAGTCAAAGCTGAAGCATTCCATTTAAATTCTCAGAAGATCCTTTTCACGTCAGGTTGTCAAATTCATCCATGTTTATGCTCTATATATCATAACATAGAGAACATTCAGTCCAGGTGGAGTAATCTGTATGAAGGTTGAGGGTTAATGTGTTTACGAGATATCTGTGGACCCTAAATGTACATATTTCCAGTATCTGTAAGATGAACATGTGAGGCAGTTTAGGGTAGATCAGAACCTGTATTTGGCATGTGAATGAATGAGTTTTTGCTTGCTATAGATGGATTCTATTACCCCAACCTAAATGGAGCACATTTCATGTTTATGCTAATCTTTTCTCTCTAGAGTTTATGCAGCTAAAAGATTTATTTGGATTGAATTCATTTGAATTTTTTGTACAGAAATATTCAACCCTTGGTGCTTCCACTCGTCTTGCCACTCCATCTTCGTGGAGAAGTCCATCCAACCAGCATTGTGACAACCAAATATTGATGCTAAACCATTTAGGAAGCTACTTGTTCAGACGCAAAACAACATCCAATCAGCATACATTTTATATTGAGGTTAGGCATTACAAGTTAGTATCAGGTAAGTGAACTTGCAGAATCAATTGCATTTCTAAGTGTGATGCAAAAGCAGCTTGTGACCGCAAAACTTACTTCACTGATATTCCAAAGCTATATACATCAGATTTTTCAGTCTGTATCTCTTTCCTCAGCACCTCTGGTGCCATGTAAATAAGCGTACCAACCATATTCCTCTTATGGAAACCTCCAGTAGGCTTGCCAGTAGATTTCCAGTTTTCAGTGGAAACTAGTTTAAGATTCTTTTTGTATTCTGCCAGACCAAAGTCAGCAAGACGTGGTTGTAGCTGTCTATCAAGCTGCAGTATAGCAAAAACAAATGTGCCAATGAATTATAGCATGAGGTAATTGAGAGAGGGCTTCTGAAGGGGTTAAACTTATTTAAAGTTGACAAGGATATACATAAAAACTGCAGAAGAATCAGGAAGATCAAAGACATTACAAGAATGTTCGCTGGTTTCACATCCCTGTGCACAATCCCGAGGTTATGTAGGTATTGTAGGGCCTTTGCTGTAAAAGGAGAAAAGTATTGTAATTTTTGCTAAAATTGAATTGATTCATTTTCATTGAGAGAGGAATAAAGGAGAGAAAAGAAGGAAGCCTAGACGACTCAATACAGCTTTCCTATGTAGCCAGCAACACGACAGAGCAGCAGGGGGATATGGTTTTAGATATCACTATGTATTAGGCCATAGGCCATGTTTACTTAGGACTAGCTGGTGTGCTTTGATTTCAAAAAGAGTTTGGAGAAAGAAATGTCATCTAAGCAACCATCTTTTATGTTTAGAACCATTTGAAAGAATGGCCAGATTTAGGGGAGAAACCGAGGAGGAAGAGAGTGGGAGATACTTGACTTTAGAAGGAAAAAACATCTTAGCTAGCACATTACTCTTTCTTCAGTAAGATCCACAAATTACTAGACCAGTAATCAACAAAATGCAATGGCGTTTCCTGAAACGTCGTTGTTTACTGAAACGCCGTGGTACTCGCTTCCGGCTTCCCTCCTCCTATTTTCTGTTTCAGTTCCATTACCCAATGATCTTCTTCTATATACTTCATCATGGTTAAATAAATTCTCAATAGTTGAAATAATTACTAAACTAC